ATTTTTTACTACTACTCTTCTTTAATTATTTGACTGCTTTTTTTTTTTTACCACTTGACTGCTCCTGATGCTGTTCTGATCTGATCTGATCTGCGGTAACTGCAGAATCTCCGGCGGCAGATGCAGTGGCAGCGGCGACTGCCTCTTCTGTGCTTCCGTTTCTCTGCAGCTTTGCTGCATCTTCTTCTTCTCGCTTTCTTCTTTCTTTCTTCCTCCTCCTCCTCACAGTCTGTACACTGTTGCATGCATATGCATGAATGAGCTACTAGTCATGGATAGATGTGCCTCGAGATTCGTTCTCTACCTTCAGAGTACTCGTTTGATACATCAGGAGTAAATTTCAGAAAACATTACTATTTTTTTGTTACAATAATAGCGTGTAAAATTATCACAAAACTACAACTTTTACATGATATGTTGCTACAGAATATATAGGTGACAACTATAGCAGCATATCACGTAAAAGTAGTAGTTTTGTGATAATTTCCTACGCTATTGTTGTAACAAACTGAAATAGATCACTAATGTTGCAGAAACCGATGGTTTTATTGCATTTTTCTGAAAATTTTTTTAGAGAAACGAGACTGATTATATGACTAGTTAAATATTAATAACTATTATTATAAATTTTAGAAAAATGATTTGTTTGTTTTTTAAAAACTTTTATATGTATTTTTTTTAAAAAAAACGAACAGTTAGCAGTCTTATATAGTATTTAACAGTTTGGAAAACGTGCTAACTGCTAACGGGAAACAAGTCAGTTAGTTTAGAACGTGGCCTTCCTCTCAAATTAGGATCCAGTGTAGTTGCTAGTATAACTGCAACTTTAGCGGTTGTTCCAGCATCACATGATGAGAAAGCAAGGGCCCAGATCCTTGAATCATTGTAGCATCACTTCACTATTGTAACATAAAATAATTTTATACATCTTGTAGAGAATGAAAGCTTGGCAATGGAGCAGACCGGAAGAAGTAACGGATGTGAACCATTAGATCAAAATATGGATCGCAAGGTGATACGCATCAATCTCAGAAGCCAAGGGGATGATGTGTCTTCTCCAAGAAGTGAAGCTTCGTAAAATTGGAAGAGGTATAATATGGTGGCTCATGAATTAGCTCAGCTATCTAGGAGCTAGTTTAAATAGTTGTGCAGTTTGGCGGTTTGATGCCCCTCTCTGTATCAAAAATCTTATAATTGATGGCTATAATCTCCCTGGTAAAACTATAATTAAATTCACCATTTTCTCGAAAATAATTGGATCGCTCAAATTGCTTGCAGTTCTTATTTATATAGTCATAGTACCAACTACAGTTGATCTCAATCCCTTCCTCTCGGTCGAACTGTGGAGCTTAAGAGTCCCATCGGTTGGCCTAATTAGCCAAAGCAAAAAGTCAAAATTTGAATTTTTGAACTTGGTTTTGAAGTTGATTTTAAGATATCTTTAATGTAATTTCTTTTTAGCATTCTCCCTAGTAAAACTATGAATTCACCCTTTCCTCGAAAAAAATTGGATCGCTCAAATTGCTTGCAGTTCTTATTTATATAGTCACAGTCCCAACTACAGTTGATCTCAATCCCTTCCTCTCGGTGTCAAACTGTGGAGGTTAAGAGTTTCATCGGTTAGCCTAATTAGCTAAAGCAAAAGTCAAAATGTAAATTTTTTAACCTGATTTTTAAAGTTTATTTTAAGATATTTTTAATGTATTTTTTTTTAAAATTGACTTTTAAGTCGTTATGAAGCAATATATATAAATTTTATCCATCAGTTAATTTTTATTCTCTAATAATCTGTTTTGGCTTATTAAAAAATATAGGCTACTTATGAGGCTTTAATTGGCTGGTACCTCGGGATCCGTGGTCTCTCTATAGTTTGCAGATGGGTATGGAACCATGGATGTGTATCAGTGTATGTATGGCTCTACGCTGCATTGCGAAGTGCTAGTACTAGCTTGTGTTGGGACAGTTGGCAGTTGCCGGTCTAGTCGAATTAAGTTGTGTTGGGGTTAATTGTAGCCTGGTTTCGATCTTGGCATGTGTAATTGTTTACTACTACTTCCGGTTTCAGGATATAAGATGTCGTGGCTTCGATCAAAATCAAACTGCTCTAAGTTTAATTAAATTTATAGAAAAAAGTAGTAATAGTTTCAATCTAACACAAATTTATTATGAAAATATATTCAATTATTAATTTAATAAAACTAATTTAGTATTATAAATAAAATTATATTATCTATAAATTTAGTTAAATTTAAAACAGTTTAGCTTTGATAAAAGTTAAAATGTCTTATAACATGTGAAACGGAGGGTGTAGTTTTTTTTTGTCAGATTTCTTTGATGGTAGGGTAGGGTGAGGTAAGCTACGAAGTTATCGCCTGTTTTAAAATATAAAGCATTAATTCTCGGTTGTTTAAATAGAGATTAAGATCGAGTATAAAAAGATTTCAGAGCCCCTCATTGAGGAATGGTCAGGGTGAGACCGTGAGACGGTGGCTGGGATAACAAGATGATGATAAAAGTTGAATAGGGTGATTGAACGAATAAGTGGTACTCCGAAGTGATAAAAACAGCTTGTATTGTTAATCACAAAAAGTAAAAGAATAACTAGATCAAATCACAAATATTAAGATATGTATCGTTAACCATATTACCTAGAAGTCTAGAACCTAGTTTGTGTGTTTTAAATTAAGATTATTTTTGTCCCCTCTTGTTTGTCCCAAAATAAATCCAATTTTTTAAGCAATCAAATCATTGAAGTTTGTGAAATAGGCGTCAATCGGTCCTTAAAAAGGCGGCAACTAGCGAGGAGTTAACGACCGGTGGGGACAAATATATTGGGACTAGATAAAATCGGGAAGGAATAATTATATTGTGATTTAATAAAGTGGAAGGCATTTTAATTATTTTGCTTTTGGTATTGGTGAGATGGGTGAAAAATGAATTTATTTTTTAAGAGAAAATGTAGTTATTTTAGGATTTAATATGCTGTTATGGCCGTGTTTGGAAAGCTTTTGGTACTGCCAGGTGCACAACATCCACCAAACATTTTAGATTTTAGCTTAGATTCTAAGGTTTAAAGAACTATATAATTAGAATCTAAATGAACAATAATGAACTAGAAGCTCAGAGGTTAAATACACCTTCTCTAGATTTTCCTTGATCGAATACTCGCTGGGTGTTGACACCCCACGAACTACAAGCTATGAGACCATCTTATACGTTTTTCGATAAATTCTTTTTAAAAAATCTGACGGATATAAATATAGTATAATTATAATACAATTGTATTTGTAAGTTGTATATGACTACAATATTATTTGTATGTAATCTTGAAAAAATCTTGTGGTGACACACTATTTCTATTAAGCGGATGTTGTAGGGTCTGACTCCCCTCATCTGAACACGTTCTTTGATTTTTTTTTTCTTCCTTGCTTGTACAAATCTTAAATAAAATATAACAATTTAAAATTTTATAAAAGTTAAATACATATTTCTACATACTTACCCTATAATTTTATATTTATTTATTTTTCGATAAATATATAGCACAAGTGCACAACCGTAAGAAGTGGCAGACTTCACCATACCAGTCAATGTTCAAGCCCATTTCACTGTTATAGAATAGGAATAAGTTCACTATAGGTCTGATTTTGTCCCTAAACCGCAAAACCGGATAGGACGCATTCCCCAACTTATAAAACCAGTGCACATGAGGTCCTAAAGTGGTTTGGACGGTAAGTTTGGCTGACGTGACGTCTACATGGCTGGTTTGACCAAAGTTTGACTTGGTCCTTATCCTATGTGGCAGTGACGTGGACTAGAAGTAAAATGCAATTTTCTAAAAAATATGGGGCCCACATGTCAGTCAGACAAAACATCAAATTGGTGGGGCCCACATGTCAGTCGGTAAAAACATAAAAAATGATAGGGCCCACATGTCAATGGTTCCCACCTCCTCTCTATCACACGGTGGTGCCTTCTTCATTCTTTCTCCCAGCAATCCCTTCTCTCTCCTCAAGCTCTCTCGCCGGCAGGCTACCGCTGCCGCCCGGAGCTCCTCGGCCGCCGTGTTCACACGATCTGGAGCAGGTGGTTGGTGGCAGCGGTCACCGTCGCGTCCGTAGGAGGCGGCGACGGTGGTGGGAGGTCCACGGTGATGGGGCACAAGGAGACGAAGGCGGCGACGACGCAGGTGCATGGAAAGAGCTCAAGAAGGAGTAGGTGGAGGCTTCTTCCTCTGCAGGAGGGAGGGAAGAAGCGGGTTTTAGGCCGAATTGTAGTCGGCTCATTGAACATGCTGGCGAAAGAGTAATTTTAGGAAGAAACTCCAAATTGAATGCCCGGCCCGATTGTTTCTTAAAAAAAAAATCAAACGGTCATATATTCTAGTGTCATACAAGGGACATGTCAATGCCAATTGCCACCTAGAATTAAAGACCAAGCCAAACAAGCTATGTAAGCCATGTAGAGGCTATGTTAGCCGAAACCGCAGTAGTGCGCTGTGGGACTTGATTTGCACATGTTTTAAAAGTTGGGCGATGCTCTATATCCAATTTGCAGTAAGGACAAAAAGTGGACTTTCTGCATTTAACATTTAAGGCCCATCAGCTTATTGCACATTTAGGACCATTTGTAGATGGAATAAGTTCATGTGAGGTCCCTTAAGTTTACATCGAATCCGATTTTTGTCCTTGAACCCAAAACCAGATATAACCGGTCCCCGAACTACCAAAACCGGTGTAAACGAGGTCCCTCAGCGGTTTTGAAGGTGGTTTTGGCTGACGTGGCGTCTACGTGGATGGTTTGACTAGGTCTCCGTCCCACGTGGCATTGACATGGCGATGACGTGACAATTATATCTTGAAAAAATAATAAAAATCACGGGCCCACATGTCAGTCACACAAAAAAAATAATCTAAAAATAGTGAGGCTCACATGTCAGCTTTAAAATAAATAAATAAATATGGTGGGCCGCACATGTCATCTCTCTCTCCCCACTCGCGACACCGCTCTCCTCGCCGTCACCGGTTCGCTCGCCGCCGCTGCTGCCACCGCCTCGATCGCAAAGCATTTGGCCCAGCCGGCGCAGCCATGGGGGATGGAAAGGGAGCTGGCGGCGGAGAAGCACGTCCGCTACATCGTCACCATGGAGAAGGTAGGCCGCCTCTCGCTCGGATGCGAGTTGCTCGATGCAGCGGCTGATTCTGATTGGATGCTCTTCGCCGCCGCTGCTGCTGTGATGCAGAAGAAGGACTCGTTCGAGTCGCTGGTGATGGAGCACATCCGGCTCAACGGCGCGTACTGGGGCCTTACCACGCTCGACCTCCTCCACAAGCTCCACGCCGTGGAAGCCGACGAGTTTATCGAGTGGATCATGTCCTGCTACCACCCGGATTCCGGATCCGCGAGAAGGGGGGTAATTGATTGATTGATTGTTCGTGGTGATGGTCTTGGGATCCTTGAGGGAGACGTGTTCTTGACTTGATCTGTGCGTTTGGTTCTTCGGATTTGGGTGTTGCAGGTGGATTGGGGGGGAAACGTTGGGCACGACGCGCATGTCCTCTACACGCTCAGCGCCGGGCAGGTCCTGTGCCTCTTTGATCGGCTTGATGCTCTCGATGTCGATAAGGTTGCTGATTGTATCCTTCACTACTAGTAGATCTTGACTGAGGTTCATCATGCTTGTGCAAACATTAGTTTATCAATGTCCAAATGAATCTAGTCAATCCTGCAACTTTACATTGAGGCTGACTGTTTTGCATGAATTCGCAAGACACCGAGCAGAATCAGCCGCTGCATCGAGCAGTTCGCATCCGAGCGAGAGGCGGTCTACCTTCTCCACGGTGATGATGTAGCGGACGTGCTTCTCCGCCGCCAGCTCCCATCCATCCCCCATGGCTGCGCCGGCTAGGCCAGAAGCTTCGCGATGGCTGGGCGCCTGGGCCAGAGGCGGCGGCGGTGGCGGCGAGTAAACCGGCGACGACGAGAAGAGCGGTGTCGCGAACAACGGCGGGGGCCGGTGGGTGATTGGTTGGGCTGCCGCTCTGCCCAACCCTCCGCTCCTCGTCGGCCCCTTCGCCCGTGGCCTGCCGCAGCCGCCGATCCGCCGGCATGCTTCGGCCGCCATCGTCATCGTCGGCATGCTGCGGCATGATGAGGAAGAAGAGGGAGAGCCGAATGGGGAGGACATGTGGGGCCCACGTGGGCCCCACCATATTTTTTTGTGTAGCTGACATATGGGCCCCATCATTTCTAGATTATTTTTTGTGTGACTGACATGTGGGCCCATAATTTTTATTATTTTTTAGAGATATAATTGTCGCATCATCGCCACGTCAATGTCACGTGTGACGGACACCTAGTCAAACTTGCCACGTAGGCGCCATGTCAGCTAAAACCGTCTTTAGAACCGCCGAGGGATCTCGTTTGCACAGGTTTTGATAGTTGGGGGACCGGTTGTATCTGGTTTTGGGGTTAAAGGATGAAAATCGGATTTGGTGTAAAATTAAGGGATCACAGATGAACTTATTCCTTTGTAGATTCGGTCCAGCATGTAGCATATCAGCACATTGTTTATTTTTTTTTGTGTGACTGACATGTGGGCCCGTGATTTTTATTATTTTTCCAAGATATAATTGCCACGTCATCGCCACGTCAATGCCACGTGGGACGGAGACCTAGTTAAACCATACACATAGACGCCACGTTAGCCAAAACCACCTTTAAAACCAAGGAGGGACCTCGCTTACACCGGTTTTGATAGTTCGGGACCGGTTGTATCTGTTTTGGGGTTCAAGGACGAAGATTCGATGTAAAATTAAGGGACCTCACATGAACTTATTCCTTTCATATAAAATTCGACTGCGATTGGGCCCATTTAATTTTCAGGTCTAAAATGGTCCACTTTACTTGTAGGCCTACAAGGAGGTAACTTGGACCATTCAAAATCGCAAGCTCGGATATAAATATTGAGAAGACATATATAGTACCTTCCTCAACCATGGTCTCAAGTCTAAGTATTCTCCCTATACAGTAAATAGGATATACAACGTCCCTCAATTATCAACACCGTTTCCGACTTTCCGTCCCAAAATAAAATTATCAATACCGGTCCATTTTACCTCCCTGAGTTATTTCAGCTGTGGGTTCATCACGTGGTTTGACACATGATGGGTGATCCCATAGACTATATCTTCTTTCACTTTTTTGTGTATTAATTTCACATTTCTATAAAACATGCATCTTCATTTCTACAAACACCTTGTGGTGGGTTGTCTTCTCCAAAGAAGACACCTCTACGGTGCCACAACTACACTCCTTGGCCCCATCGCTCACTGAGGCGAGGATCGTGTCAAGGGCCAAAAATGTTCATGCCGTCGCTTCCCAGCACCACGAAGATGTCTGTTGTGCCACCGCTTCTTAGGCGTAAAAGTGTTTGTATAAATGCCGTAAGAGAAGGAGAAAAAAAAAGAGGACAATGAAGATGAACCCTAGTATCCATCGACACGTGTCGAATCGGACGAAACGACCATTAACATTGCTTTGGGAGACAAAATGAACCAGCATTGATAATTTAGGGAGATTGCATATCTGGTTTTGGTATTTAGGAAGATAATTCGGAGAGTGTCGAAAGTAATATTAACTTTTTTGATATCCTAATTAGCCAGACCAGCTTAGACCTAGTTTGATATTAGATTAAGATAAAAATAGTTTGGTAAATATCAAAATATTTTAAAAGCTATTGCAGCACTAGATTATCACAATTCACTGTAATAGCAAACCGAGTCTAACAATGATATGATGAATATTTAAACAGCACATACATTCCTCCCTTGATTGAGAACAAAATCCGCAATCAATCAGAAATTAGTATAGCATAAATGAGCTATCCACGCACCAGTCACCTCATAATTAATGATATATATATGTTTCCTTGTACAGGTCCATAAATAGCCGGCCAAAATGCAACAAGCCCCAATCCAAATCACATCGCATCAACTGAGAAGATCAAGAAAAATGGAGTCCAAGCTGCAGTTCATCTCTGCCTTCCTCCTCCTCTCCTGCCTCTGCAGCAGAGGTAATTATTAATCAGCAGAAAAATTTCCATTAATAATTACACGTATGATCAATGCAAATTTAAAATGATCAAAGAGAGGAAAACTTTTTTTCATTTGTTTTCTGAATTCACATGTGTGTGTGTGCGCGCGCGCGCAGGTGAGGCTTTGTGCTCGCTGTCGGACCTGGTGGTGACGCAGACCACCGTGCCGGGGCAGCAGATCGCCGGCGAGCCGGAGTACCACGTCACGGTGGAGAACCGCTGCATCTGCACGCAAACCGGCGTCAAGCTGTCCTGCGCCGGCTTCGACTCCTCCCCGACGCGCGTCGACCCCAGCATCATCCGCCACGACGGCGGCGGCGGCGGCCCGGTGACCAACGGCCGGAGCGTGTCCTTCTACTACGCCGGCAAGACGAGGGTCAGCTTCACGCCCGTCTCCTCCACCGTCTCCTGCTCGTGATCATATGATCGATCGTGAGCAGCAGCAGCTTGACATAGATCGATTGCTGATGAATAATTTCAGTTTTGTGTGTTTCTTGGTTTCTGAATTGGCGTCCATGAAATGGAACGAAATCGGTTTTGTCCTGAATCCTGATGAATTATTCGCATTTTTTTGCAGTCTATTTAATTACAGTGGTTTTATCCTGAAATTTGTCTGAGCTGAACGAAATCGTCACAGTGACCATATGCGGCTCGCAAATAAAGGTTTTGATAAATGCAAGATTATTCGCCTAAATATTAGTAAAATCGTGCATGAATTTATCCATCTCATTAGCACTTGACGGTCTTGGAGACGGGAATAATCATACATTTCCTCATTTTAAATTTATCTTTATTTAAGTACAACATAGATATAGATTGACATATAGATAAACATATATATATATATAGATAAACATATATATATATATATAGATATTGATAAGATAAAAGAAGATATAGATATTGATGGATAGATAGATAGATCGATCGATAGATGTTAAAGTCATTATAAACGTTTCGATAGAATTTAAGATTATTTGCTCAAATACAATTTAAATCCATGCATCCATAAACTTTTGTCCATATATATAATAGCTACTACTTAATTAATTAGCACTTGACGGTGGAGGAGACGGGAGTGAACTTGAACTGCGAGCTCCACGCGTAGCTGAAGGTGATGTCATGGCCCTGCACAACGGGGTCGCCGCTGTTGACTAGGCAGAGGTTGCCGCCGGCAGCCGGCCGGAGCTTGGCCGGATCGACGGCCAGGGTGGTGTCGAAGCCGTCACACGCCACCTGGACGCCGGACTGTGGGCACCCGCACATGTTGCTCACCGTCACAGCGTACTCCGGCTGCCCGTGGGCCCACCCTCCCGTCGCCGTCTGCTTCACCACGATGTTCTCCAGCGAGCAGCTGGCCGCTTCACCTGGGGATGAAAACGGTCGAAAACGATATTAATTTTATTATTTTATATATAAAACTGTATCGGTTGGAAAATTTGAAATTAATTGTTTATTAGCGACATTAGTATGAGCTGATAGAAATTAGAGAAGATGAAATTTATATGCGGCTAAAAATGATCAGAAAAGAAATTATTTTTATATTACTTTTACGGAAATGGTATCAGTAAGGTCAGAAATTTTCTTACCATTTTTTATTGGCTTGGTGTTTTATTTTTTAAAGGAGAAAAAACGTCCAGTTCACCCTAGAAGTCTTGGGTTGTTCTATTTAAACCATATATTTTACCTCCTAGAGTATGAAAACTTGCTCAAATAATCCCACTGCGTGGTTTTTTTAGGTTGTTTGCGTGGTTTTTTTTAGGTTGTTTTACCATGTAAATGATGATGTGGCAAGGGTATTGTTTTGCATGGCCTAAAGATTATTCTATTAAACACAAATTGATCCAACCTTTTTTTTTTCTCTAACTGATTGACAGGCCTAAAAATTTATATATTAGCATCAACGTATATCTTTTCCAAGCCGTTCCACTTATGAAAAAAAGGTAATCAAGTCTATCACCATGTCATTAGCCCCTCCATAGTCGATGTGGCTAAAACCACTGTGTGATGCCATCATGTTCATAGTAAAACCGCTTATAATCCTCTAGAACATTATTTGAGTTGGTTTCTACACTTGAGGGGTAGAATACACAGTTTCATACTTTAGGGGTTAACTTAACCAACTTCAACTTCAATGCTTCATAGGTGAAGTTGGACTGTTTTTATTTTAAAATAATTAAGAAAAATAACAGTTAAAGCAACTTTGAGAGAGCACAAATTAATCTACACAAAAAGCCACGAAACTACAAAATCAAGCGAGTGTCCATCTCAGTCACTCAATAATGCTAAAAGTTTATCGATCCGACCTCTACATTCGACTCGAAATGGACGCCAAAATCTAAAAAAAAAATTTCAAAAAACAGAAGCGCAAGATTTCCATTACCTCTGTTGTTAATGGAAGATAGCAAGCAGGCCAAGAAGACCATCAGTAGCTTTATCTCCATTTGGACCTTTTGTTTGCTCTCCAAAAAAATTGGACCTTTATTTTTCCGGCAGATATATGTATATGTGTGCACTGTATTGTGCATATATTGCACCTCCGGGTTAGTAATATATAGACGGCAGGATACAGATTTGCAATGTATTTATTGCTTGGATTCGCTATATGTTTATCCTAAATATATAAATCTTTTCAGGAGTAGTTTAGTAACGTACGCTTAATTAGAGGTAATTAATTAATATATAACGAATATCTCCTTAATCAAATTGATCCCTTACTTATTGAGCAATCAATCGGTTCTAGAATTCCCTCGTCTTTATTCATTTCCGTTTGCAAATTAATTTTGGGGAGTTAAATATGGTTTCTTGAAACCCTTTTGGCTTCGCTGTAAATCTTAAGCCATGTTGTTGTTGTCGATAGTAAACCTATACGTGTTGGTTAGAATTTCCGGCACCTATAGAAGTTTTTCTTCCAACAACCTGACTCCAACAACCTCTGTTCCTATGGAATGAGCAGAGGCGTAGCTAACTAGGTGACACTGTGGATAGACAAACTAAAAATTTTATCGAGATTAAAACTATAGTATTTGTGCTAGTTAATATAATAAAAATTATATAGTAGACCACCATTTTAATTGACCTATTACATGTAGATGGAACACCTTTACTCCAAATCCTAGCTACGCCACTGGGAATGAGCGTTCGTTCTTATCCGTTGTATTCCCTTATTTCAATATATACCATTTATGGTAGTTCCGAATTGATAAGATGTATACCTAATCTATAGCATTGACAACATCTTAATACATTAGAGATCACCATAGCTAAAATTTTACTCTGGGTCCGCCACTACAGGAGTTGGGGCTGATATAGGTGTTGCAGTTGGCACATGAGTTGGAGCTGCTGCAGGGGGAAACTATTTTAACAGCTCGAGTGGATGTCCACCCGTTTATTGCATGTCATCTAATGACAAGATAGATCAATATGTAACATATGACTCCACAAACATACAAGTTCAAATTCAACTTCTGCAAGTTGTAACAAAAATAACATATTTAACTGTAAATATACATATAGTAATTTGAGTTTTGTTTGTTATTTTTGTTATAACTTGTAGAAGTTGAATTTGAACTTGCATGTTTGCGGAGTGATATGTTACATATTGATCTATCTTGTCAATTTTTTTTAAAATTTTTCATAACCATTTAGATGACATGCAATAAACGGGTGGACGTCCACTCGAGCTATTACAATCCATCTCCCTGCTGCAGGTGCTAGATTGGGAGTGGGCGAGAGCGTATCGAAGCAGGGGACATGACATGCGAGCGCAACCACGGGCACGGGCGCGAGTGGTTGCGTCGTGGATGTTATGTCAGCCTTGTTGGATCGCCGTGGACTCTTGGGACAACTTGCTGCTGCGACGCAGGCCCAAGAGCTTGAGGACAGGAGGCGGCGACATCAGGGGTAAGAGGGCGGCGGTCCCTTCTTCGATGTACGCCACGGCAGCGTTTCACTGTTGACGTAGAAAATACGCGCTGCCCTAGGAGTTCTGTTTAGCTTCAGTGTAGGTCCAAGATGTTGATGAGATACGGGTGTGCTAGTTAGTTTAACCCTGCAACTGACAAGATATACAAATAGCAGATCAATGAGCCAATCGGCTGATAAGTCGATAGATTAATTCTAGCCGATGTCGATACTAGCCGATAGCGATAGGGTTTTGAGCTATCGGCTATAATTCTGACGTAGATTTTGACGCTTGATGTAAATAACAATATAAAAGCAATCGACTGATGATAATGCAAGAAAGCAACAATATGACCCAATAGAAATCAATCGGCTAACAATGATATGATAGAACAAGCATTGATCCGAAGATTAAAGCATACATCGGCTGTAGGCCCGATGTCATAAAATCCACATATTAGATTAAACAGTAAAGTCTTTGTTATCATCGGCTAAATCCAACTTATATGCAATCATTGTAAGCCGATGCAATGTCCAGATAACTCATCGGCTGAAACCCCGATAAAACCCTTATTGGTAGTCAACAAGCAGGCTAGAGATTATGGTTCTAAGCACGACTTAGTAGATCAAACTTAATTGATGCAGCACTAAGTATAAAAAGAAACATAATATCTAGACAATCAAGCCCTTGACTGATTTTCAGAGTGGTAGATGCCTTAGCTAATCTAATCTAGTAAAACAATTTAGCCGATACCGGTAGAAACCCTAGTGCGAGAGACAACCGATAGAGCTAAATTGAGATACTAAGACTAGATTAACTAAGACATATGATAAAGAGGTCGAATGTACTGATGCCGCCTTGAACGACACCAACGTAGATGAGACAATTACCTAGGCCAACGGAACATTGGACTTACCCCTTCGCCAGAGATCGAACTAAACCGATACATGTACAACCCCGCATCAGGTGCCAAATTCTGCCAGTTGATAAGTAAAACCTCAAAAAAGAGGGTGGCGATGCGCCGAGAGTAGTATTGATCGAGAGTTGTTTAGAATGACATCGGGTGTACATACTTATACCCATGGTGGGTAGATGCTAGTCCTTGTATGACAAGAAAGAAACTTTCCTAAAGATAAAACAGAAATATAAAGTTCTTATTGGACACTAAACACACTTTACTAAAGATAAAAGGAAGCTAACAAACTATTCCTAATTAATAGATAACTTGCCATGCCGCATCTTCTTTGTACTCGGTCACTTCTGGATAAGCTTCCTTTAATAGACTTATTTCCTTAACCGAATATAGCAGGAATCCGACTATTGGCGACGTGATAATTCTCATCGGCCGATTCTAGGATTCTGAAGCTAATACTGACTCTAGGCCGATGATATCTTCGGGGCTTACCAAATTTCGATGTTAATACCAACCAGTCCGTGCCGAGGCTGGTTGTCAAACCCTTGGCTTCTTCACGAAACCTTGCTATCCATGAGTCTACCGAAGGTTGTCGTGGCGTAGACCGTACTCGGGGTGACGATGTCAGTGAAGAAGATGTAGCCTGCAGTGGTATTTAGGAAGCGGAAATGCTACTGGGCGATCGATCGCTCAGAGCGATCAGATTCCCCCCCTCCCCCTCACTCCCTCCACCTAGTTTCCTTTTTTGGCACCGCATTACCGTCCTATTTTAGTAAATTTATGCACCTCAAGTTTATACACCTCAAGTTTACACATCTAAAGAGTAGAGACCAAAAGTTTATATATCCGATTCAAATTTGAATTTCAATTCAAATATTTTTTTTATATATAGTATTTCTATACATCTAAAGTTTATACACCTAAAGTTTATAGACCTAAAGTTTATAAGTCAAAAGTTTATATATCCGATTCAAATTTGAATTTGAATTCAAATATTTTTCATATATAGTATTTCTATACATCTAAAGTTTGTACACCTAAAGTTTATAGACCTAAAGTTTATATACCCGATTAAAATTTGAATTTGAATTATATCTGATTCAAATTTGAATTTGAATTCAAATATTTTCTATATATAGTATTTCTATACATCTAAAGTTTATACACCTAAAGTGTATAGACCCAAAGTTTATAAGTCAAAAGTTTACATACTCGATTCAAATTTGAATTTGAATTCAAATTTTTTATACATAAATTTTTCTAACTTTTTGTTTTTTTAAATTTTTTTTGTGGTGTACTGTAGTAGGAAGAGAAGAAGGGGAGGAGGAAGGGGAGAAGTGGGACCTATAGGGGAGCGGGGGGGGGGGGATCCGATCGCTGGGCGATCGCCCTGGCAATCAATCGCCCATTAGGGCTCCCCTTTAGGAAGGCAGAGAGCGGGATCGTGGAGTCGACAGCGTTGATGAAGCACGACCTCGGAATGGTGGCGCTGACGTTTGTTTGGTTTATTCCCACATTTGTAATTGATAATGAGGAAGCTCAACTTAAAAGGTAATGACAGTCCTCGTTCATTATATTAGTCTTTTGGGTTACTAGAAAAAGAAGCCTGTGCGCTGCAATGGGCTCTGGTTAAGATAAACGAATACACGGGTTTACAAACCCTGTGGTCTTTACAACATAAGTTTATTTAAATGTAGTATCAAAAATACCTTATTTATAAGGGAAATTTTGCTATCGGACATTGCTATTGTATGGTTTTAGTCGTAGGACACCGCAAAAACTAACTTTTGGAGGGAAAACACTCCATAATTGTGCTATTTTGCCAGTGGACACCATGCCGACTAAAATAATAATTTTTGGCTGAAGAGGAGAGAGGAATCACGTGAAATATCAAAAATACCCTTGGGTCCACATGTTAGCTCTCCAATCTTGTATATGTGGGGTCCACATGGCAGTGACTCAGTCGAGATGTGGCGCCGGCAATGCGGCCAATGCCTGTGGTGGCGCGACCCGGCGGAGGAGGGTGGCCCGCACGGCATAACCTGTGGTGGCGAGACGTGGAGGAGGAGGGGCATCCTTTGCGGAGGCCGGGCGGAGCAACAGCTTGGCGCGATGCGGTGGCACTACCCCGCGGCCAGATTGGTAGAGCTACAGCTGGCCAGATCAGCGGAAATTTCGGTCGAAATCAAAATTGAAAACACTGCCAAGGATAGCGACAAAGACAATGTCTGAGGCGTCAGCGTTGGCGGGAGTGCGATGTACGTTGTGAGTATGGGATAAATCTGTATTTTTTAAGTAGAGATAGATACATGTAGATCCATGATCTAAAGTTATGACTCCCGATTATAGATCTATGATGAAACTGTTCTAATATGACTTAGGTGACCCACAATTATTGGGTCGGGCTTTGTGTTCTAGGCCTATCAAAATCACGCGTTCAACATCTCCCTCTTGACTTTGGATTTTCTTCACCGTCTCTCTTTTTTTTCCAAGTACTTTCCAGAGCAATTCTATAATTACATTTTTAGGACCAATATTAGATACGCGGTTAATGTCACGCCAGAGTATTCGTCATCAGGCTCAGGCGCGGGAGGAAGGATCAAATCAAGTGGGCCGTCGGCTACCGC